ATAAGTTTCAGTCCTGAGAACTACATGTCTCTGATGCTGAGAATATGCTGAGTTGGAAGGGATCCACAAGGATCACTGAGTACCCTGCACAGGACCATCCCCAAGAATCACACCATGTACATAAGAGTATTGTCCAAATGCTTCTTAAAATCTCTCAGGCTTTGTGCTGTGACCACCTCCCTGGGGACCCTGTTCCAGCTCCCAACCATCCTCTAGGGGAACAACCTTTTTCTAATATCCACCCTAAACCTCCCCTGACACAACTTCAGGCCATTCCCTTGGGTCCTGTCCCTGGTCACCACAGAGAAGAGATCAGTGCCTGCCCCTCCTCTTCTCCTCACAAGGAAGTTGTAACTACAGTGAGGTCTCCCCTCAGTCTCCTCTTCTCCTGGCTGAACAGACCAAGTGACCTCAGCCACTCCTCTTATGGCTTTCCCTCAAGGCCCTTCACCATCTTCAGTGCCCTCCTTTGGACACTCTCTAACAGCTAAATGTCTTTCTTACGTTGTGGTGCCCAAACTTGCACATAATATTCAAGGTGAGGCCGCCCCAGTGCAGAGCAGAGCAGGACAATCCCCTCCCTGGAATGCCTGGCAATGTTTTGCCTGATGCCCCCCAGGACATGGTTGGCCCTCCTGGCTGCCAGGGAACTGCTGACTCATATTCAACTTGCTGGCAACCAGGACCCCCCAGTCGCTTTCTGTGGCACTGCTTTCCAGCACCTCATTCCCTACTCTGTCCATACATTCGTGGTTGCCCCACCCCAGGTGCAGAATCTGGCACTTTCCCTTGTTGAGCTTCATAATGATTGGTAATTGCCCAGTTGTCTCATTTGTCACGGTGTTTCTGCAGGGCCGCCTTACCTTTGAGGGAGTCAAGAGCTCCTCTGAGTTTTGTGTCATGTGCAAACTTGTTAGTATCCCTTCCAGACCTGCATCCAAGTCATTTATGAAGGTGTTGAAGAGCACAGGGCCTAAGATGAAGCACCACAGAACCCCACTAGTGACAGGTTGCATGGTTTAAGAATGCATTGTGGGAAAATTCCATAAATCTCAGATCCATGTTTCTGTGATCCTGACACTGCAAAACCATGGGGTCAGTCTCACCAATATGTGTGAATTCACGTTTGTAAGCTTATTATTTTCAACTACCAACAATGAGGGACTGATGGTGAAAATAATTTTGAAGAAGCTTGTTTTTCTCTACTCACAACCTTTGTTCTTCAAAAGGATTATCTACATAACTTCGTACCTTCTGTGCTATGTAGCAACCAGATTAAATTCAGGATGATCCTGGCAGCCTACCAGAATCAATGAGCAGTGCGTCGCAGTGCTTCACTGCAAATTTTGAACTGTCATTTCACCATCAAAATAGATAGACGTGAGAACCTGGCTTCCAATTCCTTTCCATTTATGAAACAGTGCCATAGACTCTCTTCAGTGCTGTGAGGTAGATCTTGCAAGGCCAGGTGGTATTTTTTCAGTCCTTACTTTATCTCACTGTTGAAACCTGATTAAAATCTGTATCTACAAATACAGAAACATCATGTTATTTTCCTAAAAAAAATTTATTTTTTATATGCATACTGTGCAGCACTTATCTATATATATTCTAAACTTCTTTAATTAATCTAAAGCCAGCAATGCTTGTATTTATCCATCTGATTCTGTTATATTTTCTAAATGTGGTCCAACATAACTGCTATCGTCATAATAGGAGCCAGTTGTTTAAATGCTCAGTTGTGAGTATCTAGTGAAATAGTTTTAAATAACAAGATAAACAGTACAGCTGCCAAACCAAAGTAATCTTACACTGAGGGGGCGTGTGGCACAGAAAATTTCCTCTTTGTCATTTTGATTTGAGTTTGAAGCTGGACCTGGGCTTAGTTCCAGCTCAAAAACACTATTCACTTCAAAGGCTTCTAAATCGTCCCAAGGAGCTAATTTTGGCAGCCAATTGTTTTTGTTTGGCCAGGCATCCTAATAGCAAAAGCCGTCTGCTCCAGCAAATGAAGATTTCTTCAGTGCTCAGGCTTACCATTCCTGATTTTATCCTGATATGGGGGGTGCACACTTTTTACTGGTTTCGCTGTCTCAGCCCAAGCTCACCACTTGTTAAACTGTTCACCATTTTTTAAACTGTACCTAACTGTCCTGCATGAAAATTCAAAATATACTTACTATTTTAAAAATAGAGGATCCTGTATTCTGGATCTGAATTAATGCTTAATCCTAAATTATTGCTGAATTATCTGCTTGCTTTCTCAGCAACTAGTGAATGGTTTGTTGCTTTTTTCCATTCCCATGATCAGTATTAATCTGGGTAATTTACTGAATTAAATATAAATAGCTTGACTTTAGAAGAAAACCATTTGCAATTGTGTTGGAGATACTATAATACTTTTTATAATAATTATAGGGACAGCTTTTCCTTCACTAAGAAAATGCTTGTGGTACCAAAAAGACACTGACAAATAAAATACTGTGCCATTGTTAAAGCTTAATATGAAAATGGGCATAGGCTGTTTCTATTGGGGAAGAAATTCACCAGTACAAGCCATAGAGAAACATTAAAAAGTAAATCTTGTGAATCATTTAAGATTGGGACAGTACTCACTTTCACACCACACAGGTAGTATTTAATTTTGAATTTATATGTCTACTTTGCTATTTTAACGTTTCTGCACCAGAATTTTGGAGGAATCATAACAAACAATTTTAAGTATGAGATGTAAGAAGTTATATAGTCACAGTTTGGCAACATGCAATGCAGATGAAACTCAGGTGAGCCCTGTCAGTGTTTGCATGAAGCTTACCAGAAGTCAGAATTGCTCTGTTTATGGAGATGCAGCTGAACAGTGATCTGTGAAGTAACTAAATCCAAATTATCCAGGGAATGATAATTCTACTTCATGTAATTTTAAAAAAATAAAAATAATTTTTAAAAAAGTGCACTTTTTCATTTTCTTTTTAAGAGAAAATTAAACCTTTCATATTGGGAAATGCATTGAAAAGATAAAAAATTTGGCTTTCATTCACACATGGCCTTGAACGTGTTATGAAGATGGTGCAAGATGCACTTTTGCAGAGCATTAAGCTGACAATAGAAAACAGTAGGAAGTGTTCAGACCAACTTCTTAAAAATGTATCATCAGATTCTGGAAAGCTGAGAGTTAATCTGTGGCATGTTACTTCTGAAAGGAAAAACAATTTTAATGCAAACCAAGTGTTTTCTATTGTTATACTGTTCTCACTATTTCATGGTCAAAGAAAATAATGTTATTAAGAATGCTTTAAAACCTTGATCTTAAATACCATTGATTTGCTAATCATTTACCATGGGCATTTATTAGTAAGTAGCAAAATTAAAATATCAGTTAAAATACATCGTTTATTTTACTTTCTTGTTTGTTGGTTGAATTGAAATTGTACTGTTAAGGCACAGGATCACTTGCATTTCTCTTTGATAGATTTCTAAGCATTCACGTTTTAAAAAATTGAATATAATAGCCATGAACTTTGCCTAGAAAAAAAAGGTGTTCAGGAGTCACCCTGCTTGTATTTTTTCTACCAGGACTCCTAATCAATTTGTTGCCACTAATACATATTTGATATGCTTTGGGTTTTTTTACCATATCATATGGAGCTGTCTTAACATCCATATTTTAATGTTAGCCAAGGTAGAAAAGTTTAAATATACCATGGTTATCTTGCTGTCTTTAACCTACCTGGTTGCCAGGGAGGATAATACAACTTTGAATACCATGATTTGCTAAAGGCTATTAAATCTAATTTCTAGAGAAGGAAATTTCTACAGTGCTTATAGTTGCTGAGAGTTTGAAATACGTATTTGCTTTCAATTAAATAAATTCTTGGGCTCTTCTTCAAAGTAATATTCATACCACATCTTCACAAATAACTTGGATGCAGGTCTGGAAGGGATACTAACAAGTTTGCACATGACACAAAACTCAGAGCTCTTGACTCCCTCAAAGGCAAGGCGGCCCTGCAGAAACACTGTGACAAATGAGAGGACTGGGCAATTACCAACCATTATGAAGCTCAACAAGGAAAGTGCCAGATTCTACACCTGGGGTGGGGCAACCACGAATGTATGGACAGAGTAGGGAATGAGGTGCTGGAAAGCAGTGCCACAGAAAGGGACCAGGGGATCCTGGTTGCCAGCAAGTTGAATATGAGTCAGCAGTGCCCTGGCAGCCAGGAGGGCCAACCATGTCCTGGGGGGCATCAGGCAAAACATTGCCAGGCAGTCCAGGGAGGGGATTGTCCCGCTCTGCTCAGCACTGGGGCGGCCTCACCTTGAATATTGTGCGGTTTCGGGCACCACAACGTAAGAAAGACATTTAGCTGTTAGAGAGTGTCCAAAGGAGGGCACTGAAGATGGTGAAGGGCCTTGAGGGAAAGCCATAAGAGGAGTGGCTGAGGTCACTTGGTCTGTTCAGCCAGGAGAAGAGGAGACTGAGGGGAAACTTCGCTGCAGGTACAACTTCCTTGTGAGGAGAAGAGGAGGGGCAGGCCCTGATCTCTTCTCTGTGGTGACCAGGGACAGGACCCAAGGGAATGGCCTGAAGTTGTGTCAGGGGAGGTTTAGGGTGGATATTAGAAAAAGGTTGTTCCCCCAGTGGGTGGTTGGGAGCTGGAATAGGATCCCCAGGGAGGTGGTCACAGCACAAAGCCTGAGAGATTTTAAGAAGCATTTGGACAATACTCTCATGCACATGGTGTGATTCTTGGGAATGGTGCTGTTCAGGGCCAGGAGTTGTACTGAATGATCCTTGTGGGTGCCTTCCAACTCGGCATACTCTCTGGTTCTGTGTTAATGTGAAAACATGTGTTTCATATTTGTTAATTTGCATAATTTGAATTCTAACTCATATAATGAAATGTGTCTAGAAGACAATATACTTTAAAATACCCTAAAAAAAAGTCAAACCCATTTAAGCCAAACTTAACATCTTTTTGTCTCTCTTATTTTCTTAGGACTTTCGAACAGTGGCACCATCTATTCTTCTCTTCGAAAAGTTTGGAAAAACTTACTCCCGTGCTGGTCAAATAGTGTAATTGTCCTGGAAACTACACAAGACACTTGAAAAGTAATCAATAAAAGTGTTTCAGCAAATGCACAGCAACATGTTGACTGAATGTCCCATAAAGGAGTCTTCCTGTGATGTAAACTTTGTCTGAAGTAACGTTAATTGATTTTGCTTGATGTCTAAGCAATATGGCTTCCAAGATTTATAAAAAAAAGTTTGTGTTTTTTAAAAAAAAAATAGCTTAAGAAAATAATTTCTGAAAATGCTATATTTTATTTAATATAAATAATTTAGGATACAAAACCAGAGTCATCAAGTAAAATACTTAGAATCACATTTATTTATTACAGATTTGGAAATTAGTTTAAAAAAAGAAGAAAATTTACAATTTGCATCTGTTTTCCCCCTCACTACTATAAATGTATTTGCTTCATCATTGTTGTTCATAATTTTCAGTGTTGTTAGGCATCCTTTTTGGCTACAGATTCATGTCTTCAGAATTGCAGGATAGGCATTTGCATGGAAGATAAGATACTCTTTTAAATCTTTTTAGCATTTCTGTGGGTGATAGAACTTTAGTGTTGAAAAAATAAAGCTCTGGCAACATCTATGCCTTATTATTAGATCAGTTTTTCTATATCTGCCTAATTTTTTTTATCACTACCTGTGTTTTTACTTCTAGTCCTGTGTTAAGTGAGGCCATAATCATGTGAGGCTTGGCGAGAAGAACACATTTGATGACACAAAACTGATATTTGTTTGCTCTGTTCACTAGCAAGCAATCCTGTAAAATAGTGAGTATCCTCATACCCATCCACTTCAAAAGACTCAAGGAATTCAGCATCATGAGAAGACCTCAGCATATTTAAAGAGCAAATCAGAAGCAAATTCTTAAAGTCATGTGACTGAATTTTACAGAAGTTTTATGCTGAATTCTCCATGATAACATATTTGCTTTTCATATCATTTGACTATATTTGAATCAAATGTATCTGTTTATCTGTGGCTCACTGTAGGCTTTTTATTACCAAACTTTGTTATTTGATTCTTCTGTGCCATATAACTGTGCAGAAAACCTCGAAGAGATGTCTGTTTGTGTGTGTGAATACTTTCTGAACTGGGTCTAGTGAAAGGTGTCTCTGCCCATGACCAGGGGTCTTGGAAACAGATGAACTTTGGGTCCCTTCCAACCCAACCCATTCTATGATTCTATGAACTAGGAGTTACAAATTTCCCGTCCGTCGGTTTTCAGCTATCAGGCTGTGAAGAAGTTTTACTGCTCTCACACACCACAGTAAAAAGCCTTTCAATTCCATTCCAGTAGGTTGTGAGTGCAGGTATTGGACTGTACTGGTGCTACTTTTTGAAGTTTGTTATTTTCAAGCTTTAAAAAGTTTATTCTGCATGACAATGATAATTAACTATGGAAAGCAGAAAGCAGCCACCTCAGTGGCTGATAAGATTTAATCTGATCCAATGTATCAGAGTGCTTTGGTTGTTCCTGGAAGGGATTGAACACCAGACACTTGTGCAAAACTGTTGATGAATAAAGATGGCACAGTAATTTTTATATGTGAGAGCTATCTATTTGATTGCTTCAGCTTTAAGGTAGTTCATCACAGTAATTCACCCTGTGTTGCCTCTTTAACTTCATACCACAGTTTCCCATCAGTCCGATTAGAAATGGCAATGCCTTTATCAGATTAATCTTTCTTTCTTTTTCTTCCTTTCAGTATCTCTGACCCCAGGACAAAGAAAACCTACCTTGCAGCCTGTACTGCACTGGCAGTAGTGCTCATAGCTTAGGGTCCAGAGCACAAATGGAGGTTAAAACCAACACTTCTAATTGTAATTGTTTGATATATGCAGACCTTTCCTCCTCTTATGAAAAAAACCCCAAACTTTTCTGTTTCTAAGCAGATAGCTGCTTTCCAGAAACCTTCTTACACAAAAATGAGTCTGATTATTTTTTTAGATGAATAAACATCCACAAAATTAATAGAATAAGAGATACATTACCTGTAAGGTTTGAGGTTGGGGCTTCTTTTGCCAATTGTATGTCATAGGGAATCCAATTATTTTCTTTATCTGGAGTTCAAATAGAATTTATGTCATTCATGAGCATGTAGCATCCAAGCTATTTTGTGTGGCCACACTTCAGTCCAAGAATCCTTTTCTTTCTCATTAAGTGCATGCAACCCTTATTCAGTACATTCACACTAACCATTTAATAATTATTCTAGAGGGACCTTTACCAACTCTTTCATTATGTAGAGACTTTTTATTATTTTTATTGCTCTCATAAATAGCATATAAACACATGAAAAGGGTTGACCAAGAAGTAGCTTGAATATGTTTTTAAACATATATATAAAAGTCTTGGGATACCTGCCGCATGTTGGACTCTTGATCACAAAAGCATCTGAGAATTAATATATTATAGTGCAGAACACACCAGTAATTTTTTGTTAAGTAGAGGAATTGGGCATCATGGACAATTCATAAAGTAGTTTGAAAGTGAATGTTAGCGACTCTGCAGTCTTTAGGAAAGGAGATAAAAGATACATTTTAGTCCTGGGGGAGACCTGGTTTCTGTGACCCAGGAATAGACTACCACTTCCATTTGGTAACCCCCTCTGTCGCAAGCAGGTGAATGTGTCTGACTGGCAAAGAACATTTTGTTTTACTGTCTTGCTTAAATCAAAATGTTTGCATGTAGCAAACTTACAGTTTTTATCTAAAGCCAGTTAAAGCTAAAATTTTGATATTTTAATGAACTACAATAATATATTGAACAAGACAGTAAAAATTTTGATGATGTCATTACATAAACAGCTGTCTATCAGTATAAACACTGATTGTTTTCAACTTTCTTATTGATATAGTTTACCACATCAGTTTTAATTATCAAATTGCTTTTTCTAATATAACTAATGTGTTTTAATATTTTATTTACTATAGGTTTTTCTCATCAACAAAATTGTCGTTTTATAACAGTGTAATACCAAATTATGTGTACTTCAGAGAAGATTTTTCTGATTTATAGGAGATGTTAAAATCCATTCACACAGTGCAAAATCTTAACACACAGAATGGGTACTGACAGAGGCACCAGGAAATGAGTACTCTGAAAATTTGTGAGGGACTCCTGGATCTTGGTGAGTCTACAAGACATGTAGCTTCTTAGACATTTAGGAAAATTCTCACATCAGTATCTGAAAATCAAAAAGAATCACTGTGATGATAGGGAAATAGACAAATGTAAGAAACTCTATATTAGTCTTCAGAAAAAGAAGTGTAATTACTCTAATTGTCCCATTGAATGTATTTCAGTCCTGGTTACTGTTTTCTGCAGTAACAAAATATGGCCTTCAGCATGCAGCAACACGAAGACAAGTCTGTTCCTTGCTTTTCAGCAGCAGAAACAGAAGTAGTTTTTGTACCTTGAACTGATTTAGTCCCCGTGTACAGAGGGAAAAAAAATGATGTTAGCCTTTCTCATACTGTATGGCTGAAGAGCCTTAACAATACCTTTAGGAAGCAGCACGTACTGGGAAGAACTTGTCATACCAGCTCACTAACAAAGTATCTCTGATATGTCACTTGGATATTTTTGTCTAACATACAAAAAGCTTGGGATGTAATACTTCGATGTCCTCTTATAGCTGAGCAATTTGTGTAGATCATGGATCTTGGGAGAGTCAAATAATAATGTTATTTTTTTCAATATCAGATGCACTGTCCTACCTGCCAGGTGCGAAGGGTTCAAAGCCTCTTTTGCACCTCTTTGCTAATGACCAATGATTTTTGGATTTAACCACCAGTGGGGATGGCAGTGCTCATAGACAGATACAGGCAGAGCCATTAAAAGGGAACAGCTATGTGCTAGAAGTTCCTCACAACTCACATCATGAGACGTTTCAGGGATATCATGAAGTGTCTGGTAACATCTTTTCTTGCCAAACCTATGTGCTGTTACTCTGTGGATTAAGGATCTTTCAGTGTTGCTGCCCAATAGCTTTGTTTGACTGCTACATCGGCTGATGTTGTAAACACAGAAAAATCTCTTAATTTAGGTAATTTAAGAACTGCTTTCTGGGTTGATCCAAGATGTTCTCAACACTTGCCAGAGAAAACATTTAGCTTGCAATGCCCTCTAGAGGCAGATCTGCCATAGTAGTGGTGACCGCAGATACGCTCTTCAGTTTCCTGGTCCAGTACTGGAGCTTTCAGGACAGAGGGAGTTTTAAAATATTTTTTAATTTTATTTTTTGTTAGTTTGTTTTACTTTTTTTTAATCTTTTCAAATAAGCCACACTTCACATTTGTATAGGAGCAGAAGTCTGGAATTATTAGGGACTTTGCAGCTGACCCAGATGCCTCATTCTAGATTTGTACAAACGGTGCTTCCGGGTGAGTTCGGGCCATATTTAAACTGCAAAGCAAAATGTTGATGCTCACAAACAATAATGGATTTTTACTTACAAATACTTTATGCTGAATAAGACTCTGAAAACATAAAAATTAAAAATATTTCCAACAGCTTACTGTTATTCCAAAGGACATGTTTGCAACGTGCCTTCTGTAAATCTATAGTCCTCAGTTGAATTAATTCAAAAGTTCTGCACAGTCGAGTTTGTTAGAAAGATGAGGATCTCTGTCCTTTACAGGCAGCCATGGGCTCCTACGCTCAGAGCAGCAGAGACTGAAAAAGAGAGGATGAGCATAATTTCTTAATATCAAAGTCATGGGTTATCCCATATTAAAACAGAAACTCTACAACCACAAGGGAGTCACTTTCATGTAATCAGAAACAGAATTTGAGCCTTGAAGCTTTTATTTGTCTTAACTTCATTCATAAACGATTTTCAGGGGTGAATTTTCTTTCACTAGTTGACAAAGGTTTCTGGTAGGCCTAGAAAAACATCAGCAAAGAAGCTCGGGCAATGCTGGATTGGCTTCATATTCTTCCATCTTTTAATAGTTCAGCTCATTAATGAGAAAATCATCTGGCTGCTGGCACAATCAGATGTAGTCACTTATCAGTACATTGAGTTCAGTTTATAGTACTCTGGTTCATATTCATGATCAGAGGATGCAGTGGAGCAATTCATTAGTGCACTACTGCATTAAGCAATCACTGCCAACATGTGACATATTGAGAGTTTGCATTAAACTGCTTCCTTTGAGAATCTTTGAGTAAAGAAATTCCCAAGTGCAGAAATCAGTTGAGATAAATCACTTGGCCACTTCAAGAAAAACATTGAGGTTCCATGTATGTGACGTTTAGTTAAAAAAAATCCATTCACTGGTGCTATTGTATGTGTGATATGATCACATCCTCAAAAAACAAATTTATCTTACTTTAGCAGCTATAACATGTATAAACTAGATTAGAATTATGCCAAACTGAAGCCTTTTTCTTACTCTTAATTTTTTAATGCTGTTTAATGAAAGTTAACACTCTTTTTGTTATGTGTCAAGATATTCAACAATGTCAAAAGCCCAACCTTCTACATTCTGTATGTCTCCTCATGGTACAAATAAGGAGCCCTTGCAACTGCAGTCTGGACATGCTCATCTCACAATGATTCTGTTTTTAGGAAGGGACAGTGCTTATAAATTTGAGAAAGATGCATCCTGTGTGCTGTTGTGAGAAGAAGGTGAGGCTAAGGTTAGTTACCTTCTCACTTTTTCTCTTTGAAGCATGGTATGGTGGTGATTTGTTGTCCACGTGGTTCGTTTGATTCTACCGGATCATTTTCTACTGTCAGCCATTCTTCAACTTATCATCTCTTCTTCAGATTTATAAAGTCGAAGCTACTCAGTGGTAAGTCTTGTAGAAAGGAGTAGAACTCTAAATCTGTGATCTCTCATGCATAAGCAAAATAGGTGCTGGTCTTCCTTTGAATCGGCCTCTAATGTAGCTTCTCTCCCTTGAGCAGGATTATTCTTGGTATTCTCATTGGTATTTTTACCAAAATCTGGGCCAGTGAATCACTGTTAAGAGGAGAAAATATGCATAGTATGTAAAAAAACATACTATACTATACTATACATACTATACATGCCTATACTTATGTTTTTGCAGCAATACTGACCTCACTCGTGCCTAGTAGTTTTGAATAAGAATGCTTAGTCAGACACTGACCAAAGAGAAGAGCTGTCAACATGGGTCTCTTGTTACTTCCAAAGACAGTTGCTGGCTTTGTTTTCCATGTTTTCCAGAACTGCGTGTCAGATAGGTGAGATTCCTGTGTACCTGCTAGGAATAGTTCACCCTCTTGACTTTGTTTCTGTGCTTGCTCTTTGCTCTTATCCTCCCAATGGAACCATTTCCCCTGCATCACAGGATACCTCTACTTTATGCTAATAATGGCATAAAAAAATATGGTGGAAATTAGTTAAAGATCAGTTGGGAACAAAAAGCTCAAATCTCTAAGATATTTGTGTCTTTAAGATATCTTTCCCTCTTAAGCTCCTGTATCTCCTCTACCACAAAGTGTTACCATCTGCATGTGAGGCGAGAATTGGTTTGCTTTCTTGCTCTA